TGGTCTCACCTCGCATCCTGTGCCTGCACAGACCGGATGGGAGATTAGCTCAAACATATTAGCAGAGAGAAATTTCATCAGTTAACAAAAGAATTATAGTTTATTAAATTACCATCTGGTCAGACAGTCTTGGATGGCGTTGGTGAGGGCGTGACCCAGGTGAAGTGATCCTGTCACATTAGGTGGAGGGATGCACATCATGAAGATGCCCTTAGCATTTTCCTCACTGATACTCTTCCTCTACAGAATATAGTGACAGACAGGTTATTTGAAGCTAAAATTATCAATTAAAAATCTAATTCAGGACCATTTTTATAATATCTGAGGACTTACCCCATACTCAGGCTTGAAGAAGCCCTGCTTCTCCCACCACGGATACCAGGCAGCCTCCACATACTGAGGACTGTAGGAGTCAGGAAGTGGACTAACAACATCTGGCAGCAAAGGTGAGGAAAAGGTTGAGTAAAGCATCTGGAGCTCACTCAAGTGAAATGCTGAAAAAACTACTAATATCACAGCCTGAAGCGAAGGTGCACTTTTTTAAAATACGTCATCACTCAGTGGAATAATAAACCTCTAATGAATAAAAAAAGCTGCAAAACCCAGAAGGACTAAACGTGAAGGTCAACAAAGCACAATAATACACACATAATATACGATGAGAAGTGTGAAGACACTTGGATGTTAAGCTTTCTAGCATACATACGAATATCAAATCCTGAAGCCTAGAATCTGTTCCCCTAAATCTAAAGAATACTGTGGTTGTCTATCCTATGTGTCTTTTATTTTACACAGCACCTACTTGGTGAAATGTCCACATTTATCTAAAAACTAAAAACTGTGGAGTGACCACAAGCCTGAGCTACAAAGCAGGATTTGGTGCTTACTGAGGCAACTTTAGGGTTAAACCTGGATTTTCTGGGTAATGACAGTGGTTAACTTGTGATGGGATGGCGCATCACCATGGTAACGTCTGCTGCAGATCCATCTTGTTATAAAGGAAGTTAAGTTCAAGAGAGGGGGTCAATTGGTACAAAACTACCACCCACTGATCAATCAATTCTCCGGAAAATAGTGGTACCATTAACGTGGACCTCGTGCCCAGACAGCAGGAAGGACTATTTTATCCAGTTTTACTTCCTGCCTTTATTGACAGATATTACAGTCTTGCTGCCAACAGACCTGTCAGTGTTGTTTCCCCTTTCCTGCCCTACTCTCCTACTTTGCTCGTCAATTCCCTCTTTATCAGGTCCAGTCATTAATGACTGTTCTGCCTCTAACTAAAGGACCTTGTTCTACCAGACCAAGCAGCTCTACAGCATCTTCAGATCTCCACTTCCTTCTTTCTTTTTCTTGTAAGATGGAAGTACTGGTAGACTGTCTTTTTGCAGTTTTATTTGTTGGTTTACTTTTTTACCTCATTAGTTTAGGGAGAGAAGCTCTTGGTCCTACAGCCCACTGACCCTAATTTGTTCCACTTTTTTGCTTTCTTTTGCCAGGCCATTTCCTCTGTTTTATTTTCTGTTTAAATTAAACAGCTTGAAACTTAGGTGTGGCATCCGCTTTACAGGTTATGGTCACTGAGATAAGGTAACTTCAAAGTGCAAGCTCAAGGGAAGCTTCCCTGGAACACTAAGTTACATGCAATGTGCTTACAGTACACAAATCAACTCAAGCATAGTGAACACTCACCTTTTTTTTCTCCAGCAGGGGTGGTCATGTTATATGTAATCACTCCCAATTCCTTCTTCTCAGGCTTGGTCTTTTTCTGAGGAAAAAAAAAAAGCAGAAGAAAAAAAAGATGAGAGACATTGAAATAGTAATGTCTTCAGTGACTGTGTCACTATCAACTACAAATCAGATGGCTAGCTCAGGGTCACCCTTTCGAATTTTCATTTTCAAATTTTTGTGTTCTGTACATTTGTTTTTCTTACAGGTGAGGCGGTTAGCAATAAATTGTACTTTATCCTTTTATGATGTCTTCCCATATCACCCTCCTCCCCCTTTTCCCCCATATCCTGCCTTAGACATTGTCATACTGTACACCACATACAATGTAATAACTGAAATGGCATGAACAGAAATGAAGAAATAAACAGATAAGCTCTGAACAAGAGCAGTCTATGGAGAATTTATACAGCTGATCACAGTGCATTGAGATCATAATTTTGACAGAACACAGCAGGACTAAAAATAAAAAAACAAGAAAGTGCTTGTATGAATTGAATATGTTATATAAATCACTTTCACTTTCAAGTAGAGTAGAAAAGCACTACATAAGAACAGATGATTTACCATGGATATTTGCGATTTTCAAAACTTCACAAATGAATTTCTCTTTGTACATGTTGGGTATTTATACCTCAGATGGCGGCTGTGTCTTTTTCTTTGCTTCCATTTCTTTCTTCTGTTGGAATTTTTCAAGCTTTTCTCTCTTCTTTGCTTCTTTCTTCAGCTGGGCCTCCGTCTTCGGTGGGCCTGAGAGAGGAAACATCACAATGGCATGAAATACTGTACATTACATTCTGCTAATACTTATCAAGTGATTCGTTGAAGTTCCTAACCGTTTGCTGGAGCGCCGGGAGAGTCAGCAGCAGGACTGCCATTAACAGCATTTGTAGCAGCATTTGTTTTTGGTGTGACTGGGACCATCTTTTCACAAAGAACGATCTCCCCCAGTACCTTCAGGAACTGTGGCTGATTAATGCAGGTCGTGAACCATCTGGTAACATTCGTTACAGCCTTCCTGTCTGATGGCTCCAATGCCTGAGTATTTATAAAAGCATAATAAAGCTTATCTGTTCAGAAGCTATGCAGAAAAACCTGTTAGACAGAAAGTGTGGCGCAGCACACATACATATTTGAAGGGGAGTAAAACAGCTGCAGCTACAGCCATATCAGCCAGGGTAATGCTCTCTCCCACCAGGTAGGTTCTTGGTGCCAAAGCCTGATCGAGAACCTTAAGAACACGCATCAGCTCTGCACGGGAACTCTGCTGGAGCTGAGAATGCACAAAGAGTAGGAGAATACATTTTTACATGAACAAATCAGACATACGTTCAGGTCCAAGGAAGCTTTTAAATACCTTCTTATCCACTCCTGTCACCCCCATCAGAGGGAAGACCACAGCACACGACACTGGGGTGAGCTCATTGTCTGCAAAGCTGAGCCACTGCCACACCTGGCTTTGCTGCTTGGCATCCAGACCAGCCCTCTTTCCCTGAAAGGCTAAGTACCATGACACAGCAGTGGCCCCGCTCACTAGAGACTCACCATCCCCAGCAGCGGCCAGCACCAGGGCTGGTCTGGAGCGGGCGTTCAGAGATGCAGGAGGGTCCTCTGTGATGATCTGCGGCCGGGAGGACGGTCCATATTCTGCAGCTAAGAGAGCCAGAAGGCTCCTGAAGTCATCAGGGTGAGGAGACACGTAGAGAGTGGTCATCTCTGGTAAAGACACATTCAGGTTGCATGAAGTAAGAGAGAAACATTCATTTTGTTGCTGTAATTGAGCATTTCCTTATCAGACTGGATGGGTGTGTTTGCTGGCAGAAACACTGTTATGCCAAACTTCATGCCACTCAAAGGGCATGTCCAGAAGGTGTGTCAAGTTTTTTTTTAAAGCAAACTGTTTTAAACATATTTAATAAAATCAGCTTTAAGCATGTCACAGTGGGTATCAGATTCGCTTTAAAAAGGATAGATATGCTAGCCCGTTAGCTCTTTGTTTCACTTTCTGCAGCTCTGAGCCGTGGCACCTGTCAAACTGATGAAAACTCATGCAAGCAAGCTAGTTAGCTTAAGCCAACGAGTCAAACTGAAAGAAGTTTTTCTTCAGCAGCTCCACCGTGAACTTTAATAAACCTTTATTCAAGCTGCCACAACTTTAAATTCACCAGAAAGTAAGCGTCTAAGAGACCTGCGGCTTGCTATTAAAATGTTTTAAAGAGAGTCATGCGTACCTTTGAATGAAACAGACAGAGAAGTCAGCTCAGTTAGCACACACACACAGTCACATGAATGCCCGTCTGATGCAATGAAACTGCAACAACGAGTTCCGGGTTTCAGCCGTCGCTTCCGGCACAAAACGGAAGTCATGTTATCTACAACCCATTGACGAGAACAGATCAGCAACAACTACCACTGAAGGTATTTTAATCAGCGATCGGTTATTAGATTAGATTAGATTAGATTAGCAACGCCACTGTGTAAAGCTATTAAATTAAAAATTAAAGGACCTGCATTTAAAAAGTCTTATTAAAGCTGTTAAAACTGCTAATAAAAGCAATTTAAAAGCAGTTTAATAAAAAGTTAAAGTATGATGACGATGATAGTGATTATTATTATTAGTACTAGTTGTAGTACATAACTATTACATCAAATCAGGTAATTGTAAGAAAATGATAATAAGCAAGTATTTATTTTTTTTTAAAAAAACTGAATTTAATTACACACACACACATATTCAAATTTAAATACATTGACACACTTACCTTCCACCTTTAGCCCCTGGTACTCTATTGTTTCGCTCTCCTTCCTCCAGATGTTGCTATTTGGACTGTTATACTCAATCACTACAATGTCTGTTGATATATATATTACACCAAAACAATATATTTGCATGCAAATAGGCATACCAAATGTTTTATATCTCATGTGCCCTCGATAATAAAAATTTATCTGTGGTAGAGAGTCATCTTGCAGGTTAGGTTATATATTAGTTTTGCTTTCATCGTCAATTAGTATAAATAACGCAGTATAATAAATATAGTATAATAGTATAATAAAGCAGCAGTTTACTGAACTGGTAAAAACGTATTACCAACATCATCATGGTTTAATCTCTAAAATTCTGTCATTTTTTACTGTCTAAAAATACAGTTTGCAGTAGAAGTATAATATGACTGGGTAACTGGGTAAATATACATATATGTGTCAAATTGTACTACTGGAAGAAGGAAACAAGAATATTCAATTAAGGGAATTCAAGGAAATGGTGCATGTCATGTTAGTAACCCAGCATACTCTTTTATTCAGATTTACAGATGTGACAGTTATCACACAAGTTGTCTTGAGTAATTACATCCAACAGCAGAGTGTGCACAGTGTTATTCAAATCACAGTTGGTTAAGCTCTCAAGTACAGCAGACTATTTGGCAGCCAGTTTTCCACAGTGAATTGTAAGATCTACAGTGTAAGAAATGCAGGGAAATTTACTCCATCACTATTTTACTTCAAAAATAAATCCAGCAAACCATCTGTAACAACTAAGGCATATCAAATTACATCATCTTTAATTAGTTTTTCACACGTTCATATCTGGAAGAAATTTACAAACCAAAACTGAAACTTCAGGGAAAAAAAGTTTATTAAAGGTGTCATCTTGAGTCTTATTTTTTTCTTTCATTCTTCATTCGACTCCTGCCCAAAGGCCTCTCTTACACCCCCAAAGACTACATCAACCATTCCAAATATAACCCCTCCACCCAGCCTGAACACATTGACCACTCCCTTCCCACTTCTCCATACCAGTCTCCCAAAACCTCCTCCTACAGCTTGTGCTTGACCTCCCATCTCTGACATCACTGTTCCCACATAACCCTCACTGTGCTCCCACAGCCGCCCTCCAAAGAACTTGGTCACCGACCAAGCATTATCCAAAGCATCACCAAATACCCCCACCGTGTCTCCAGCTAGGGTGCCCAGACCAGTGACCCCAATGTGGCAGCTGCTCAGCAGTTCCCCCATCATAGAGGAGGTGCAGTAATAAACACTACAGAAGCAGGTCTCCCCAATACCTAGCAGCATTTCTCCTGCTGTGCCCATCCAGGAGAGGAGGTCAGAGGTCAGAAGATGGAACAGGGTGAAGGTCTCTCCAGGCAGGGTAGAGAGAACTCCGAGGTCTTCCTGGAGAACATAGGTGACCTGAACGCAGATAAGAATAGTGAGTCGACTTCACAGTGTGACTGCAGGAAGTATAAACAACAAAAAGACAGAAAGCCTTGAGGCAATGTACTACACCTAGAATTAACTCCACCTGTACACCACACCTCATTCCAGTCTACGGACGGAGCAGACTGGAATGAGATGATTTATTATTTAACTCTGAACCTGAATATGTTAATACATAACAGGTTAATACATAACACAAACTCTTGAGACAGTTTTATTAACCCGAGGCTCAAATGTAGAAACAAAAATCGTCTATTTCTAATGATTTGTAATGGTTTTATTTTCCTATTGAAAACATTAATTAGAACCACAGGTCATTGTACTGTTTAATGAATATAAAGTCATAATATATTTTAATTCTCAAGGATTGCTTGTAACTAGTGAAATTAGAGAGTCTCGGGGAGCATTAGCCAGACTGTGAAAACAATTGTCACACATGTGTTACACACGTGTCTGGAATGTGGATCTCAGAGGTCTGCCAAAATCATGAAGATGTTAACAATGATGTTCTTACAAACTAGGGTGTGGCGAGGTAATCCATGAAGTCTCAGTAATGCTTTATGGGGAAGTGGACCCAGTATTGCACCTTTCCCTTAATATAGACTCGACTCTATGGAAGTGTATGATATACTCCCAGAAAACATCTTTGAGTCTGAACCTCTTAATATCTGCACATCTTTTACAGAGAAAATAACTGTTACTATGGTGAGAGGCGCAACTCAGTTTAAATTATGTTTATATTCATATTTTGTATAGTATATTTTTGGATGTTTACATATTAGAGCTATTAGAGAGCTATTAGAGCTACCTGTCCAGGTAGTTGTGTGATTGTAGAGAATACAGGACGCAGAGGAAACTTGAAGATGGAGAAGGTGGTGGAGAGGATGGAGACCAGAGTGCTGGTGGAGTTTGTGTCCGTCTCTTCAGCAGTTTCATGTTCAGCTGAGGACTCGGAGTCTGACCTGACAGCTCCTGAACGTGTCACATCACCCTGTTCATTACTGCTGCTCTCAGAAGTTGCTGCATCTGCTGAAGTCTCCTGCATGGCGTCAGCACCATCAGCTTTCCCTGACTGAGAATTAGCTGCCTGTTCTTTAGTTATCGACTCCTCTCGGCTTTCCAGAATCTCTGTCTGCACATCTGTATTTCCAGGAAGTCCCTCACTGTGGAGACCAACTCCGACACTTTTCCCATCTCCTCCTCCGCAGCCTTCAGAGAACATTTCTGCCAATCCTAGCATGTCTTCCAGCTCCTTCACGCTCACTTGCCTCACCCCTTCCTGCGTCTCTCTGATTAACCCAATGCTGAAGCCACCCTTCCCCTGCGGGACAGCACAGCACGCCGCAGACCACAGCGGCTTCGTCTGACACTCCTTGTCTCCATCCTCAGCAGCCCCGAGTCCTCCCGCTCCAGTAAGGATGTAGAGATCACCCCCTACAGTGCTGCACTGGGGAGACACGCTTGACTGGACCAGTGTTGTGACTGTTGAATCCCAGTGGTGAAAAGGGGAGTCTGTGGGCGAGACAGAATGAGATGGATCCACACCTCCTCTGAGAAGAGCTGGTGCTGCCACTTTAATGTCTTCTTCCTGCTCTGTCTGGCAGAAAAAGAACCAAAACCAGCAGTTTAAGAAAGAGTCCATCAAACTCTTCAATCTATGCACTCTGATTTTTAAATGTTCCCATATAAGGACACAACAATAACAGAAACATCTCTGATTCCTGTTTCTGTGTGACCAGCTGTTCAATGTTGATAATTATGAGTGTGATAAAGATCCAATCCATCTTTTAAATTTATATTGTTTGCATTTTCTTTAAGCTCCATTTTCAAATGATTTTTAATGTGGAAAAAATAATCAGACTCCTTTCCTAATTAAAAAAAACTTTTTGTTTGGCCTGAGAGCTGAATGTTTGAAAAATAGGTGTTTTATTTTATATATACACTTGTATTATTCAAAGGCTCTGCATTAAAAATCTTTAGCTATCCCCAGACACCTGTAATTCTTATTCTTATACTACTATTTCTTATTTATTATTATCCCAGATTATTTCCATTGTCTGGAATGAAGTATTCCAAGTAGAGTGCTTAACAAAGTTATTAGATCACCAACCAATATAATGTTCATGCCACAGCTGCCCTAAATTAACAGCATTGTAATTATGAAAATAATTTCTTATGTTTCCTAAATGCTAAAATATCATTATTGTTGTTATTCATAAATTCTCTAGTTTACTGTTTTGCAAAAAAGCAGATAAAAGATAGAAACATGTTATTATTTTTGATGCCAAATTGCAGTTATTTACTTGCTTTCCTGAAGAGAAAAATGTATTTTAGTGGTCGAATGTTATGTTTGATTAATTCCAGTGTGTCAGCTCAAATTTAGATATAAAAACATTCATTTAGTTTGACTATTAAATAACAATATGTGAGACATATGTAATATGTAAGAATGCATTCTGTACATAAATGTTCCTATGAATCATGTTTTCTATACCGATGATGATTTGACATTTCTCTGTAGGAGTAGAGAAGTAACGTCCTGTTTTACAAATTTATTTATTTTTTCTGTGAAATATTAATTAACGGTATCTATTTCAGTACTGAGCTAGTATTCAGATGTAAACACCTTAAAGTTTTTTAGAGATGAAATTTTTGAACTAAACTTCAACTGCAAAGAGTTAATAGTCATTACAGGCCCCTCTTAAGGGGTGGCCATCAAATCCAGCCTTGCGTTTTCTTCTGCTTATCCAATTCAGGGTCACGGTTGGGCTAGAGCGTATCCCAGCTGTCACAGGGGAGGTGGTAGGGCACACCTTGGACACGCCACCAATTTTTTTTAGGGCTCCACTTTCTGCGTTTTTTATTTCATTTTCTTTATTAGAAAATTGAGTGGTTACCACTCACAATGTACTTAGTTACTTTCCACCACATTTCTTTACTTATAACTTAATCTTTTAAAACTAAGCACTTCTACTTTAAGAAATGTGATAGATGTACTCTTACCACAGGTTCTCTCCCCTCCTCTCCCTCCCTCTCAGTCCATCCCTGGAGGAGATGGAAGGCAGAGTAGACAGCTGTGTCACAGGTCGGTCTAGACAGAGTGGCAAACGTCTGCCCTCCCGGCAGCCTGTGGCAGCGTGGGCGCAGCAGCGGCCCTGCAGAGGATCCCCGAGGAGGCGTCTGTCTGTAGAAGCAGTTGCTGCAGAGGGTGAAGTCTGCCTCCGAGTTGTCCTCAGCTGGGAGAGACAGGCCTAGGCCCAGCACTGCCAGCAGGCAGACAGCCGCAGCAGCTGCACTGACAGCAGCAGGACACAGCATGATGGTGGTGAGCTTAGCAGATCCCCCCCCCTCCTCTCACTCACACACACACACACACACAGAGTGAGAGGCTTATAAATTACCGAGTGATTTCCGTATATAGATGAGAAAGATAATGTGGCCAAGGTTGGCTGCTGATGGCTTGTTGTTTTCCTCACTCGCTCCTTGTTTCCTCCTCCAGTTTCTCTGCAACCATGTCTGTCCGCTGGAAATGTTAGCTGCACTCTGTGAGAGTGAGTCTGTTTGCAGGCACAATCTTGCTTACTCCTTCATTTCCCTTTTCCTGAGAGCCTCGCCCCCCTCTGTCAGTTCCACCCTCTGTGACTCTCCCTCTGCCTGTACCTCCACTTCACCCCTCCCTCTCATACTCTCTATGGTTACACCTTTAACTCCCATTTCTGTTAAGTACACAAGGAAAGCCCACACCTATTCAGAGCTGTCAATTACCTGTATGTCTGCATGCCTAAACAATGGTCTCTGTGCAAGGTTATTTGATTGACAAACTCTTGTTGTTAGGTAAAGCGCTTACCTTAAAGTGCTGACGCTCTATCAGATCAAATATTTGCTTTGCTTCCAAATCAAGAAGAATTTCACACCTAAAAGTCCAGATAAATGAGAGAAAGTGAACTCTAAATATAGCAGGGTCTGTTCATGAACTCCTTATTAGAGCTAAATCCGGATAGCGACAGTTTCACGGGTCATTGTCTCTCCCAGAGTGCAGCGATTCTTGAAATCTGAACACACTCCCTTTCATGGCTTGCACATTTGCCCTCCTAAATATCAGAACCATGCCTGTTGAGGCATGACCATGAGTCCTTTATGCAAAATCATTATGTCGCAAAAACAGAAATCTGCATGTAATACCACAGCTCTAGAGTCAACGGAAAAAAATATCTTGCACTCTCTTTTAGTCATCAAGAGCTGGAGTCACGCCACGCTCCCTTCACATTGCTTAAAAGTTATGGCCAACATGAGCCAAATGTACCCTTGGGCTTCAGTCAACAACGGTATCAGGATTCCTTTGCAAAGAGGTCAAGCAAGCAAAGACAGTCATACACAGTAAGTGACATGGACATGAAGTTTACGCAGTATTTTAGTGTTGTAAATATTTAAAAAAGCAAAATGCAACACAGTACAAAGAGGACTGCCTACTTCATTGTCTGTGTGGAGCTGTGGAATGAGAGTTTCAGGGTGTGAGTTCAGGGTGGGGCAATAAACCACAACATAAGAGCAATTTAACACTTTCACTTTAAAAAATATGTTACAAATGCATTTTGGTAAACACTTTCTGTTTAAGTAAAGCTCCATCAGTGGAATCTGTGAATAACACACACACACACACAAGTGAAGTTTAAATAAAAACTTTAAGTCTGCTGAAATTATTTTAATCTGACACACAGTTGGATGGTTACAAAAACTATACACACCCATTCATGAGAAACACTTTAATTTTTGACCGATTTGATGAAATAAACTGTGAGTACAAATGAGAAATGTCAAAACTGTAACAAGTAAACAAAACTTAAAGCTGCACACATTTATGTCACAGTTGAACAGTTTTAAAAGGACTGCAGCACTTCTACAATACAAAGTCAGAGACAGCTGTTAAGCAATAAAAAACAAGGGACACACCTAGTTGTATTCAGTTTGTGTGGATGTTTTGACAAAAATAATCAGCAGGTAGTTTGAAACCGCTTTACAAAGTAAAGTATCCATCCAGCTCAGTGATTCCAGATCTTTCTTAATCCTTTGCAGACTGCACTTTTGTCACGGACCAATAACCCGACATAATTTTACACAAACGCACTACTGATGATATTGTTTGGACAGCGCTGCTGCAGTTAAGCTTAAGTCCACAAGGGGGAGCTTGACCCTCCTTTCAAAAGTGTGGACTTGTTTGTTCAATGCAGAAATACATTCAACCCTGTTCTATTTTTCAACCTTACATCCACATACATTTCCCTCACTTATAAATAAATCAAATCGCACACTCAGGCTCACTCATTAGGGATGTCAATGACAAGTTCAGCCTCGTCTCCCTCTCCTCTGTCTTCGTCTCCTCTGTCACTGTCTCCGTCGCTCTCGCCCTCCTCCTCAGCTGCATCTCCACTAAACATTTGTCTAGGAACCCAGCTGAAGTGGCCACTGGCTGTTGGGGGAGCTGCAGGGCCTGATGGGTAATTAGCTGCCATTGAAGTAACGACCTAAGAAGATCAGAAAGAAGAAGTTGTTGTTTGGAACGACAAAGCGAGGGATGGACGGAGTGTAAAAGAATGATGAGTGGGGATTGATGGTAATGTCACAGATGACCGAAGTAAATCAGGACAAAGCATAAACAGTCATGGTAAAAAGACAGTACACTCTACTTAAAATCTAAGCTTTTATGTATCCAGATAGAATTTTTAAAAAAAAATTCACCTGGTCCTTAGTGGGTCTTAAAATTAGGTAAATACAACCGTAACAATTGCATATTACAGTGTGTCATTAGGAGTGTAGGTAGCAGCCAGATGCTGCTAATCAAATGCACTTGGTTAATTGATAATCAGCAAATGTGAGCACCTTTATGAAAGCAGACAATTTGGCAGTTTTCTGATCTGGAGCATTCAGATGTGTGTTAACACAAGCCATCAGCAATGATCAGCAATCTTAGAGAAGCAACTGTTGCTGCCCAAGGGCATTTCCAAACAATCTGCCCCATCATTCTCCAGTGAGAAGGATTATTCACAAGGGGCAAACATTCAAAACAGCTGCCAATCCTCACAGGATTGGGTCTTAACACACAATGCTCAGAGAAATGGCAAAAAATACAAAACAACCAAACACAGCCTGTCAGCACAAACACCTCATATCAAGTGTCAGGTGCAGTGGTGCAGGGATGATGACTTGGCTTGCTTTGCAGCCGCTGGATTCAGGCACCTTGCAGTCATAGAGTGGAGCATGAGCTCCTCTGTACACCAAAGCATTCTACAGTCAAATATGACATCATCTGTTGGCTAACTCTGCAACAGGACAAAGATCCCAAGCAGAGCAGCAACTCTAAAACAGAATTACTGAAAAAGTGAAGAATCAAGGTGTGATGGCTCAAAGTCCAGACCTCAACCTGACTGGAATGCTGTGGTGGGACCTTAAGAGAGCTGTGCATAAATGAATGCCAACAAACGTCAATGAACTGAAGAAGACTGATAAAGTCACACAGAAAAAAAAATTACTTCCAATTATTGGTGCTAAAGGTGGGTCTACAAGCTACTGAGTGATTGGGTGCACTTTGTTTTTCCACAAACTGCTTCTGCATTTTATGTTTTTGGTAAATAATAAAGACACAGTGTATAACGCCATGTGTTGTTTATCTCAGGTTGTATTTAGCTCAATTTAAAACCTCCTAACACCAGATCATTTTTTAAATATTATATCCTGATATGTAAAACCTTACAATTGACAGAGGCTGCACTTTCTTTTTATCACAACTGTATATGCACTCATATATTTTTTTATTTTTTAATTTTGGGGCTCAACAAAAGGGTCTTGAAATGCCATTGTTAGAGCAATAAAAATGAAAAACTGTACACTATGAATATATATATTTTAGATGCTTTTTACTTTGTTATAAATATGCATCTAAACTGAAAATACTGGAAACAGCCTGCCGGGCCATCAAATATAAATAGCTGGTTTGTGTACAGTTTGTGAGAATAAAGCGTGAAGTGTTTGATCATAATTATTTTTTATCTCTGAACATCTTGTTTCCCCTCTTCCTCTCTCACCTTCCCCGTAGTCTCTTTCTTGTTTTTTCCCGTCTTTGTTTTTCTCTCTTTCTTCATTCGTTCAGCTGGGGGAGCCAAATACTCTGGTGGGAAGGGCATCTGCCCAACACACACGCAGGCCCCAAATCATTGTCAAATGACCACACAAACATGCATGCACACAGTCAAAGGGCAGTTTATAAGACAGACACACAGAAAAACAAACAAAACATACACAGAAGAATGAACAATAAAAAGACAGTGGAGCAATTATAAATCTAAAAACAAAAAGCAAGGAACAGACTTGTGAATAAAATAATGCAAAATTAAAAAAAACAGATTATGCTCTTTGATCAGAAGATGAATATGATGGCAATGTTATTGTTGTTGGTTGCAATAAGATAAGAGGGGAAAGAGAAACTCACAGCGTTGAGGTAGGCTCCAGAGCCAGATGACTGCAGGGAGTTCACACCAGGACGGGAAAGCAGGGAGAGATGAGGAGATGATGATGAAGGGAGGCACGCACCGGGACTACTTTTTCGCCTGAAAAGAAGGTCGTGGATTAAATAAAAAGAAATATGAATGTGTTTAGTTTAACAATTAGAAAGCACAAATGTTTCACTCAACTGTCCTAACAGGCTTACTTGGCCTGGACATGTAAAGTAAGCCCAAATAAACCTAGCTTTAAAATCCCCCCCCCCCCCTTCTGCCTTCATTGCATATCCATCCATCCATTTTCTGCTGATTATTCAGGGCCGGAACATTGGGGCAGCAGAGAAGCCAAACCTCCTTCTCCCCAACCACCTCCTCCAGTTCACTCGGTGGAACAGCGTGTCCTGGGATTACCCCGGGGCCTACTCCCAGTAGAACATGCATGGAACATTTCACTGCTACTACTCCTAGTACGTCCCAAATGACTGAACTTCTCACCCTGTCACTAAGTGGGAGGGCAAGCCACCTTCTCCCTCAGAGACAGGGTGACAGAAAGATTATGCTGAATTTTTTTTTTCATACAGAATTGTGAAAACACCGTCTTGTGCTAGCTAGTCACAGTTAAGAAAATGGAGAAAAACAATATTCAGCCACTATAAAACAGTAAAAATACTCACTTTATGATTTATTCGTGTTGGCTAGAGACTCACACTAAACAAAGGGAAATCACTACTCTAACCTGTACCTTAACATCATTTAATGCTTGAATATAAACTGACTGGCCAAATCCAGTCACCACCTGGATTTAACACCTCGAATAGGAAAGAGCCTTCCACCAATAATTACTGTGGTAATTCACACGCTTCATATATGGAGCTACATTTCAAAAGGGACAAATTAATGGTCTGCATGCATTCTGGATGATCTCTGAAACTACAAAAATTGGGTTAAGAACTGTTCAATACATCATTAAACCTGGAAGTGGTGATGATTGAATGACTGTAGATCAAATCATACAATATGAATATGTTTAATACTGAAAGATAGGGTACTTCCACGCATAGCCTTAAGAAAACTACTTGGTGTTTAATTGGGGGAAAAGGCTTCAGTTTAGGGAGCATAAAGATTAGAATCTTGGGCAGTGGAAAAAGATTAAGTGGTCATATAATCCCAGATTTATCCGATTTCAGATGGGAACCTGTTGGTCAGTGTTATGACTGTAGTTGCTTCAGATTGTCTAGGGTTGGTTTGGTAGTGTTATTTGTCCGAAAATGAGATCAGCTAACTACCGGAATATACTGAATGCCCAGGATTTTTCCATCACTGAATTTTTTCTTCCCTGAATACACTGGCTTATTCCAAGATGACAACACCAGAATTCATTGGGCTCAAACTATAAAATGAGTGATTCATGGAGCATGCAACTACTATGAATACTTGTAACACACAGTGTTGTGCAATGCAAAGTCAACAGGTAACTTCGCATTGCACAAGACGTCTGTGGAGGGTGGAAATAAAAGGTTAAATATGAACCTACTCAAAAGTGAATGATTCTGGTTGATCTACCTGGTAATTTATTTACTTAAATAGCCGACTTACTTCTTTGCTCCCTCTCGTTCCCTTTCCCTCTCTCTGGGTCCTTCCCCTTCACTGTTTTCCGAGGAAACAGTTGCTTCTGAATCTGATGATAAAAACAAAGACAAAATTGATCCACATGACTTCAGAAGCAACAGCTTTTTTTCTTACTCATAAAGGTTTTATGTTCCTAGTCTACCTGATGAGTCTTCATCTACTCGCTCATACTGCAGCAATCTGTCCAGAAGAAAGCTGGAAAACATGTATTGAAAATTATTTTTTGCATTTCCATTAGGATGCACAAAGCATACCTATATGCAGACACAATCCTCTCAAACCTCTTGTCCCTGGAAACTTTCAGAAGTTTCCTCTGTGCTCTCCTCAGCTCCTCCTGAAAACACTCCTGCTCCTGGAAAGGAAACCAGCGAAGCGAAATCAGCGCAAAGACAGACACGTAACTATAGCACGGCAGAGGAAACGGGACGGTTAAAATGAAAACACTCACATAGACAAGAAACTTTAATTTCCGTTTGAGATTTTTGTATTTCCGCTTGTAGTCGACTTCGACGTCCGCTTGGCCGTTCATGTCTAAAATGCAAATGATTAAACCATGAAATCTGCAGTTTGTTAGCAGCAGTGGATACTAACTATAATCGTTTTATAGCAGGTAGTGTCTGTAAAAGCTCATTCGTTTCCAGCGGAACCAGCCTCCGTACCTTCAGCTAGCTCCGATATCTAGCCTGCTACCTATAGCTAGAGCGCCACGAACAGTTCAAATATTTACGAAGGCTTATTACAAAATATGGTAGCACGACTCAGAATTTAAAGCTAATTTATCTCATGACACTCTCTTGAGTCTGCCGTGGGACGTGCTATTGTTTACCTATCTAACGTCGTATTCGTGCGTCCTTCTTCTTCTGCTGTTACAGTTGTTTGACATTCAGAATTTCGGTGCTTTCCCGCCACCTCCTGGGCCGGAGTGGAAGTACCAGCTTTAAAAATCCCAACAATGTTTTATATTTAAATCCCCTTCTTCTTTTTCATCGTCATCCAGCTGTTCTCTTTATGGGTCACTACTTCGGATCACTTAATAATAATAATAATAATGGATTGGATTTATATAGCGCTTTTCAAGGCACCCAAAGCACTTTACAATGCCACTATTCATTCACTCTCGCACTCACACACTGGTGGAAGCAAGCTACGGTTGTAGCCACAGCTGCTCTGGGGCAGACTGACAGAATGACATATCGCACCATCGGCCCCTCTGGCCAACACCAGTAGGCGGTAGGTGAAGTGTCTTGCCCAAGGACACAACAACCAGGACCCAAGGATTGAACCGGCGACCTTCCGGTTACAGATACGCTTCCCAACCCCCTGAGCCACAGTCGCACTTGTCTCCATCGGACCCTGTTCCCTGCGTCCTCAGTCACACCAGCCCTCTGCATGTCCTCCTTTACTACACACATGCATCTTCTCTAAAGTCTTCCTTTTACCTTGTTTTAGCTCATTTTCAGTCCAGTCCTTGTAGCTGACTATTCTCAAAGGAATGTGTTTTTGTTTGTTAAAATGGACTGGTACATAAATGGTGCTTCTCTGTGAATTTGAGCATTCAAAGCACTTTTTTTAGCATAATCCTCATCTGGACCTTCAGCTGATCCATTCACTATTCATTGAAGCCTTATCAGTGGAAGGCCAGCTGTCAAGAAGACATTTTTAATGAAGGTAAACAGGGCAACAGGTCTTATAGAGTGATGAATCCAAACTGAAACCTTTGGTTCTAATTGAGAGAGGTATGACTGTAGTGTCTACAGTCATCTGTAAAACACAGTGGATGCTGTGTCATGTTTCAGGACTGCATTTCAACTACTGGTGTTTGGGATCTGGGAAATTACGAATCCAGAAAAGTGACCATTCAATATCATCTAGAAAACATCTCAATTGACACTAATTTTTAGTATGACAGTGATTTCAAACATACCGCCAGTGCATTGAAAGCATAAGCAAACAAACAAACAAACAAAAAAACGTACACAATGGAACACTATCAGTCAGAGATTGGCCTCCCCAGAGCCCAGGCCTCAACATTATTGAAACAGTGTGGGATCATCTTGACAAAGAGTAGAATAAAAGGCAGGCAACATCCAAAGAAGAGATCTGAATAAACTTAAAGAAGAGGAAAACTAATCCAAAAAGGCTTCTCAATTACAGGACAGCTGGCCTCAGAGAGTTCTGGCTGTGCTGAAGAATAAAGGTGGTCATACCTTTTTACATGCATATTAATTATCAAGCTTATTAGAATTCTTGTTTCCAAATTTCCATTTATGTCTGCATGTTTTTACACAAAACATAGAGAAGTTAGGGATGGCTCACAACGTTTGCACTAAACTATTCTCTCCTTGACCATTAAAATCAAGTTGTAAAGGGCCTTCAAATATTTGTGCCCATGACAAAATATTTTCCATCTGCAGGAGTGGAAACTTCGACCCCACTGGGGAACTAAGTTGAGCCTCTTAAGCGCATATTTTTAAAGACCTGTTATGCAGACTTGGATCAACTTTCTGGTTGCAACTTATAAAAGTATGTAGTCACTGAAAGGAACAGTGTAGGGCAGAAAACCAAAATATGGGCTTACCTTGGCCCAGTCTCCTGTAGCCTGAACCTTTCTCTCTGGCCTATGAGGAGTAATCCAAATGTGAATTCCTGCAAATCAAATTTCCTCATATTGTTCCTCATCTCTCTCTCTCTTTTTGCACTGGGGTTCTGCTGAACTCCCTTAGATATGTCTCCCTGCCATTTTCTGTGCCCGATGTCCCAAACTTGGGTTTGACATAGTATCCTCTCGTGTGTGTTTATTCCCCTGTTTTCTGCATGGTGGGAACTTCTCAAATTTTTCTAAATGTATAAATAAACACGAAGAGGAGACGCAAATCCCTGGGAGGATTGTGTTAGGGAGGTCATCCAGAGTAAAACCCATACCAAATCAAATATGTGCAGATTTCAAGCTTTTATAAATACATATTTAGAGAAAGAAAAGTTTCACATGAACAAATGCAAGCATTAGATGTCTTTTATTTTTTTCAGTATAAAGTATTAGACTTATATTACTAGTAGTAGTTTTTTTCTATGTATTAAGCATTATCTGTATTAGTATTGTAACACAATAGTTTGTGAAACTAGACCTGATTTATTAGGAATCGATCACAATGGCGATCACAAAGCTCATGAAACATCCTTTTATATTCTAAATATCTAAATTTGATAGCCAGCAATGCTTTACAGCTACCTTTATCCTCAGTCAAGAGTTACGTAGCATGCATGCGGGTCAAGACTCTGCATTTTATTAAACCTCCCTGTCCCCTCCACCTGCCGCATGCTGCGGTGCACTGAATTTTCTGCTCAACCTTAGTTCAGCACAGTCACTGGCCAGCACCCAGCACCATGAATTATAGATGAAGAACATTTTGCAGAGATGCTGCTTCAGTGCACGTAGCCCACAGCCAGACCCCTGAGTGTGTGTGGGGGAGTTGATGGGGTGTGGGTGAGGCAGAGATATATATATATATAAAAAAAAGTTTGGATAAGTGGACAGGCTGGAGGGAGGTTTATTTATTTATTTGTTTTTTTAAGACAGAAAGTGAGAAGAAGCAGTGGGGCGCAGATAGTGTTTCTCCAAGGGCATGGAAACGCTGACTGCACCTTTCAAGATGCCACCCCTTGCAGTCGATATAGAACCCGGCAGGGCACCGATAGCGAAACAGCATCTTTTAATGCACCTTCCAGATCAGGCAGATATCAGAGAGCCACCTTGCAAAAATAAACACACACTGTCTCCCTTCCAGGCAAAACAAATGCCAATATGAAACACAATATCTCACTGACTTGCCGCCCCTCTCGTTGTTTCCAAAGACACTGGCAGACAGAAATAGACTCCTCTGTGTCTGCTGCCATAAATCGCTGCTGCCAACCACCCAGCCAGCCAGCCAGCAAGCCCTCCTGGCAGCTCCAGTCATCTGCCTCTCTCCCACCCCTCCATTTCCTCCCTTACTTTTAATGGAGCCATATTTTCTCGAGTCAGGCTGTGGCTGCTGATCTGTGCTTGTCAATACGTTTCCTCTTGTTAATTTTCTGCTTGGATGTACGTCCTCGTTGCTCTAATAGTCTGACTGTATCTCACTGTTGTTCTCGTTGTACTGGCATGCGTGTTTTCCCTCTCTCGCTCCTTTGCTCTCCCTCCCCATATTGATGTGTTTGTGCTGTATGCCATTAATTTTGTTTCTCTCCTTCTAACTCCGTCTTTCGCTCTTATTTCAATTTCACAGAGGTCTTTTTGTTCCTGCTTTGTCCTATACACAGAAAACTGGAATGTACCAAAACCACACTAAAGACACCAACAACAACTGCCAAAAAAGCCTTCTCTGTGGTCAAAAGGTAAGCTTCGAGTTCTGTGGTTTCCACCTGCTGCTGTGTTTGGAACAGTTGAGAGCAGATACATTACCTCTTGAACGTTCTTTATTTTTAGCTTCCTGTTTTTTTAAACTGTTTGCAGTAGGATTCCTGTTCTCTTTGTATTTTATCTGCAAGGTTATGTCTCCTTTGTGTGTGTGTGTGTATTACAGGAAAAGCTCATCCAGGCTATTAAAAGAATCAAGCATGAGGTAGATGAGTGCAGAGAAGCAGAAAGAGAGACATACATAGAATCAGTGGAAGTAGAGGTACCATCCTCGCCTTATTCATTATCTTTTATCTCTTTTTACACACAATTATTTCAGTTTATTGCAAACTAATTGAGTGTGCTGAAGCCAGCACTGGTTAAACACAGAAACCCTTCAGTTTGACCTACACACTAAATTTCTTTCTTTCCATTTTCTTTATTTGTCTTTCAGAACAGGTTTGATGACCTAGAAAGGGAAATCAGAGCAGAGTTTCAGAACCTCCACCGCTTCCTGGATGAGGAGGAGTGGAGGGACCTGGAGCGACTAAGGAGGGAGAGACAGAAGCAACTGAAACAGCTGAAGGAGAGAGAGAAGAAGATAGCGGGGCAAGGGCGAGACCTGGAAAAAGCCGTCGCAGTGCTCAACAACAAGCTGACTGAGGAGGACAGTCCTAAGCTGATCAAAGTGAGGAAGAGTGTCACTGAATAAGAAGACACGACGTGTGATTGTTAATTAAACTTGGGCTTTTATGAACTTGACTCTAATTATACTCTGCAAAGCTGTGGTGTGTTGATAGGCAGGGTTTATGTGTGTGGTGAGGAGCAGCAGCAATACAGTGCTTTATCTAGAGCCTCTGTTTTCCACCCTGCTCCTTTGACACACTCGCCTTAGAGTAAAAATAACTTTCTATAATTGTTCATCCTCTTTAAACACTTTCACAGTTAGAGCATGCGTGTTTACAAAGGGCCACCCTTACACAACACCACTTTACTGGCACTTATTAGATCAATAAGTATTACATTAGATTTGATTGATTTGATTAAAAAGCAGTTTCTCATTTAGAAAACAAAAGACCAAACAGCAGACACGTGTCCAAATGCAAAGCTTTCTATGAGAAAAGTGCTCTGTTATGTTGTTTTAACTAATCAAGGCTGAATTCTTTTCTTGTAGGAAATTCAAGATCTCATTAAAAGGTACGTTTTCTCAATAGCGTGACTTTAGTAAATAATCTGAATGTTGACATTGCCTCTTAACTCATTTATCCTGTGTGTATGGACGTTTAGCATCTGTGAGACTGTCTTAGAGATGGACCTCCTACCATTTAGTCCTTCCCTCTGTGTCCGAACAGATCTCAGGTCAGCTTTGTTCTCCCAGCGGAGGTGGACACAGAGGTTCGCTCTGGCCAGTTTGTCGGTCCCATCCAGTACAGAATATGGAAACACATGAAAAGCTGCCTCTACCCAAGTATTTCCATACAGCATCATTCATTCGATGCAATACACATGTGAATAAGCAGCATCAGTCACTGTCCTCAATCTGTTTCTGTTTCTAGATATTACATCAGTGACCTTTGACCCTGAAACAGCACACCCGAATCTGATTCTCTCCCAGTCCTGCACTTCAGTTTGGTTCAATGAGGATAAAGACACAAAAGACTTCCAGGCCAACCCGCGGCAGTTTCACTATTACTACTGCTTGCTGGGCCGTGAGGGCTTCACCACAGGGCGACACTACTGGGAGGTCGAGGTTGGGGGCAAGACGGCGTGGAGGCTGGGTGTGGCAAGAGAAGACGTCCCAAGAGGGGAGATGTCTGCCACGGGCACCTCCAACGGCCTGTGGACCTTGGCACTGAAGAGCGGCTCTATCCTAGCCTGCACTGACCCAGACCCGATAAAGATCAAGGTGTCGCTCTGCCTCGTCCGCATTGGCGTGTTCTTGGACTGTGAAAAGGAGGAGGTGACTTTTTATAATGCCCTTACCATGGCACCAATCTACACCTTCTCCATGGGCACTGTGGAGGTACCTCTGTTTCCCTTCTACAACCCATGTGACAAAGATTATGGAAAGAATACAGCACCACTGAACATCTTTATCCCTTCCCTATAAGAAGCTGTTCAGCTGGAACCAAACATTAAGACATTTGCAGAATTAATTACCAATGATTTCATCATGATTTTTCATTTTTAAAGCACCTCTCCAACTGGATTACTTAACATCTTACTCAAAAGTATAATAGCTAGATTAGTCAAAAATCAAATTAATAGTTGCTACAGTGATTCTATCATGTCTCTCATTTTAAGATGAAGAAAGTCCCTCTCATTGATTATGCACTTATTTCCTGGTAAAAGAGGGTATAAATGGAAAAACTCAGTTTATGAAATAAACACAGGTCACTGCTTCTGTAACTTTCCTTCACTCTTTAAGGTTGTCATTTGCAGCCAACCTGGAGCTTCAGGATCCACAGCAGGTGTAAACAGAGCTGTGATGTTCTTACCTTTGGCCTACATATAAATAGCTCTGTGTCCTGTGTCCTGGGGCAGCTATGGAAGCTCAAAACGCACCAGAGGGGATTAATGTGGTCAGAAAGTGACACGTGTTCCCCACAACAAATCACGGCTGACATTGTGTGAGATCTCCGCTTGGTGGGATAGCCCTGAGACGGCACTGTCCTTCTGAAAGGTTGTTAATCGCAGAGAAAGAAAAACTAAGACAGCAAGGCAGCAGATGTCATAATCTTTTGTTTATTCTTAGTATTCCTTTAGACATGAAATAAAGATATTGTCTTTACAAAACATCTGTGTGAAGTGTTGTGCAAAAAGGGAGTACAGAGAGAGAGAGAGAGACCATGTGGGACATCACACCACAACCAGGCCAGGAGCAGGAATTAGAGAGGATCAGAGCAGAGACAACTCACATAGTGCAAGGAGTACCAGTGGTCTTAAAAGTGGTGGGGGGGGTTTTCTCTAATCAGAGGTGGGTATGAAACCACAATCCCTCTGGCACCAATTAGCTGTAATAACTCTTCCTTCCACTCACCGTCTGCCTCTCTCACTCTCATACTCACTCTATTACTTTCTATTGCAATCACTGACAGCACACAGTAGTGGCGTTGTGTGGAAATGCAGTTTTAGCCACCTCTCATTAACCACTCACAACAACATAACCCAAACCCACACAAAGCTTTGTCATTCATCTGCTGCTATCATGAACTCACTCACAAACTCCAAACTAACCCATAGACACTGTTAATGGAAACACGCTTTGCTTGTATGCTGCCTACAATTAAATCAGACTCTTTTCATCTCTTTTAGAGCCCAACCAACAAAAGAGTTTAAAGACCGGAAGCAATACTTTAAATTTAAAAAATGCTATTTTCTTTCAGACACATCAATCATAAACAGATTTCCCAAACATTTGTCCATTTGCCATGTGCGGTTACTTCTAATTTGACAATGCAGTTTATGTATATATATATATATATATATATATATATATATATCTTGAGTTGGATCAGCTTTTTTTGCGTTCTAAACGTTGATCCTTGAATTTGCTATTTACCAGAAGGCTACCAGATGCTGACAGCTGTGGTTGCAAAAAGGCATAAGGTCCTATAGAAGTCTATAGGAAAACAGCTTTCTGGGTTGACCTCTGTAAAGACTTTCCTGCTGATTTTGAGTAATACTGAAGAAAAATCTTTCTGGTGATATGTCGGTCAGGCTCTAATCACTTTGATCGCACACATTTCTTTCACATTAACACATCTTAGGTTAGCCGGCAATTTTTGCTTTGTTCATTGAGGTGTGCAAACTGCATATTCTGGATCAGTGAACATCCTCCTCACTAAAAAGGTGCCATTAGGATGCGGCTAACGACAGAGCACAGGCCAACTATCCAATATACATTTTAGGCACTAAAACAAAGACAAAGAGTCACTTGAATATCTCAGAGTTACAATAAGTTTTTACAATATTCTTGTGGCTTCCATCACATTCACACTCATGAGTTAAACACTGCACTTTTTGTTTTTTTCTCTTCACACTGCAAGACGACTGAAGCAGGCACATGGATACTTTGCTCACAACAAATGGAGAAGCACACATGAGAGTTTCGTTTCTGTACAAACTCCCTGTGCATAGATTCAGCACACACTCGCTCATAAATCACACGCACACTTATAGATACGTGCATCATAGGCATACGGACTTTAAAACGCACACAACGATGGCGACATTAAAAACACCACTCCTGTATTCGCGCACACTGACACAACGTCTGGACGATAGAAGCGGAACGTGTCGTGGGCATGCTGCAGTCAATGCTGTAAATGACACTGGTTAAACATTATTAATATGTAAATAGTGTGAGAGATACGGTGTGCTGACAGCAGCGGATAATAACTGGTCTAAAATGGGCTAATACAGTCTCGATGGGAATTTACAATATTTGGAAGTTGATTTAGTTCAATACATTAGTGAATATTAGTATATATAGTATGTGTGTATATTTATATAATTATATATATATATTTATATATTAGATTTAAGTTTGTAGAGAAATTTAAATGATTTTCTTTTTTTAATATTAAGTATGACACATTAAAAACATTCAGCCTCATGGTGGGGAGGGGTTACACTTGCATACACATGCAGTATTTACAAGGCTGGAGTCCATGTTTGCGTTTTACATGTGTGTGTCTGTATCTGTGAGTATTTATATGAAGAGCTTTGTTAGTACTGCCAAATAGCATTGTGGTTCCCACACAGATGCAGGCTGGAGAGCAGGCGTATACGTCTTTGTACACATATTACATTAAAAGACCTTTGTCCATGTGTAATACATCTGACTTATTGACGCTGTTAACCCATCTAATGCTGAGGCACCTTGAGTTTATTTTTGTATTTTTGTATTTTGTATTTTTTGTAATTTTAGTTTATTTATTCTGTTGCTCTTGGTATCAAATCTGACATCTAAATCGAGCTCATTTTATGGCTTTTTCAGATGCTGACAAAACACCTCATATTCATTTACTCATAAGAAAACTCTTTTAGTAAGGAAAGCTATAAAGAAAGGCCAGCTGACTGTATACGGATCTACTTTTAGTTTCCCTACATTCCTCTGACCATTTGATCCAACATGCTTTTTTTGATGTACACACTGTCAGTGTGTACATCAAACACTGACAGTCACTGGTTTGCCACTGGTCAGTTAAAACATGAAGTAGGGACGTGCACATTAAAACGAACCTGCACACCTCCTCTTTACCAGAAGTACCAAAAGAGTTTCAGCTGAAATTGCATTGACTGGACATCCTGAATACCAGGTCAGCTCAACACAGACAGTGTCATGGATTTGGTGAAGGCTTCATACTGCTGGTTTTTGAAGCCAGTGAGGCATAAATATTTAGTTTCTGCCAAGTTTTACAGCATTTATGTAAGCGAGCAAAAATGAAAGCAAGCAAATGAAAGCAGAATGAGGGAGAAGAAGAAAGGGGCGTGAGGATAAAGAAAGGAAGGAAAAGTGAAAGGCTAAAATCCCCTCTACATAATGCATGATTACCTCCGAATTAGTCTCGCAGTTTTCATTTGTCACGATATGGGGTGAAATACAAAAAATGCTGAGGATTTTTTATTTTTTCCAAAAGTCCCTGGATCCAGATTTGGATGACATTCAATAACTGAGCACTTCTAAGACGGGCCAAGCCCAGCTCTTTTAAAATTGTCACATGAATCCACTAATACCTTTTGTAAATTAATCAATCAACCAAATCAGTCATATAGCCTCCTTGGTGGTCGTAGTAACAAAAAAAGAAGAGTGAACAACGGCAAAGAAAAAAAGAAGGTGGTGATAACAGCAGAGGAAAGACTGAAGGAAAAAAGAGCAAAAGAATCATGCTCTAACTATGTGAACTTACCACACACTTTTATTTTATATTTCATACTGCAGGCATGGGGTGGTCCCTTTAAGCTGCTGGAAGTTTTAGCTGTTGTGAGTTTCCCATTAAATTGTAAGAGTGCTGGGATTTTTATGGAGCTATGGGGAAATCCAGATCAAAGACAATAAAGTGGATGATCCGGACTTGAGGGATCAGCCCGTAAAACACAATTTAATCGTCTGAAATTTCCGCTGGGAGTGTGAATCTCAATCTCAAAGACTAGAAATAATGTGGTTAGTATTTTTAGTATAAGTGTGTGTGGTTAATGTGATAATGCACTGTGGATGTTTCTAGAGGACTGGCTCAAGTGAATGAAATCCAAAATTGAGCTATGTATAAAACTTCACCAGCAGTGTGATCTGATGGGGTTTTTAGTTCATTTTGATGATATCGGTGCCATCACATATTTTAGGAGGCTTAAGATGACACCAGCTGAAAGATTTTATCTGCTTCATCCATGTGCTGTTCATGTGCTGCTAGAGGAACAAGCGTCGAAATGAGAAATGATGGTTAGTTAGGGTCAAATAAACTGTTGTAGTGAGCTGTTTCAATGAAATGTCGTAAACCTTTTAGGATACTTTAGAAAAAGACTTCATGTGGAGTAAACATTTTAGTTGTAAACTCTGCAAAGGATTGAACTTGCAGTTTGGCAGTTTAACTTTGAAAATGAACAGAAAAACAAGGCTGCGAGGCGTGTACAACTAAAATGTTTAACAATCAAAAGCCATGTTATGTGAAGCGTTTCTGAGCCAGAAAGTCTCAAAGGTTTAAGTGTTAGTTACAGATAAGTGAGATTATCAAGGTAATACTGTGTTCAGGCATTAGACATGTTAAATCGAAGTCCTCGCCCCAGCTGCAGTGGTTTCCTCATCATTTGGTAAGGGGTGTTCGATTGTCTACAGTAGTGGTGAGCGGTGGAGAAGATCTGTGGGGCTTCCTTTGTGTTTTTGAAGGGGCACTTCTCAGGTGGTAGTAGTTGAATCCTCAGCTACGGTGCCATCTTTGCCCGCCTCCAATATGGCACCACTAGCTTTCAGCTCCACTTCAGGGGTTTTAGGAGCGACTGCTTTTGGAGCTGAGCCTTTGATAATATCAGCGTGATCCGGGCTCAGTTTGGAATCCGGTCCAGGTTCGGGCGTGCCGTTGGTAATTGGTTCTGGTGTGGTTGGCTTGGGGTGCTCAGGGGTGGGAGTAAGGGCACTCTTACTCTCAGGGGTTGGAGTGGTGGCTTTGGGAACAGTTGGTTTAGGCTCTGGGCTTGGGCTGGGCGCAGGTTTTTTATCGGCCTGGGGTTCTGGGCTTGGGGCTGGACTAGGTTTAACAGCTGCTCCTTTAGGCACATCCAACTTTTCCTCCACAGGTTTATCAGGAGTTTTCTTGGTCTCCGGGGCTGGGGTCACTTTAGTTTCAGGTACAGGACTGGGCTTAATTTCCACAGCTGGTGGAGCACTTGGCTTGGATTCGGCAG